CGACAGGTTGACGGGTATGCTGATGGTGTTTGTAAAGATTGTATTGTGGTCCTGTGATGTAGCATAGTGTTTCAAGCTGTGTGACAGTAAAAAGTTTTGGAATTTCAGTGTAACATTTTGAGACATTAAAATGAGCCCTCAGGACAATCTCCAGTTTGGTGCTACCATTGATTTTGAAATCCCCTCAAGGGAAGTGCCCTGAACACCCTTCAACTGACATTTAAAAATCACATTTTTTCTTTTTATTAAAGGGTGCAGCCAAAGCAGGCAGCAGCAATACAGGCCGGTTCAAGGCATGCCAGGTAAAGTGAACATCCACACACGTAAACAGTAAATTTGATCAACTCTCCATTCATACGGCAACTATTCACTGTCTCCATTCATACGGCAACTATTCACTGGTGCTGTTCAGCAGATTTTATAGCTTACCTTTTGACAGCATATGTATGGAGTGCAAAAGAAATGACTTACGGAATAAATGAAGGTCTAACTTAAAATAGCAGCGACCCATTGTACATGGGTGGTTCAATCCTCTCTTGTGACCAGGAACCCTTTTCATCGCTGCTCAATTTGAATATCAAGGTCAACACCAGAAACTAACTATTATTTCAGATACTTTGAAACAATAGACTTACATGTATTTCATTCATGAACCATTTCTGATTATCTAAAGAGTATGTAGACTGGATGAATATATAACTCAGAAAGTTGCCCTGGTTTTGTCAAAACTGAATATAATGTGCATTTCACGTGAAAATATCCATGCATACAATCACAGCATGCAGCGACAACACGAATTAATGCTTTCAAACAAATCAAAACCCAAAAAAAGGTTGTGAGGCTTACTTTGACTGCCTTTCTTTTTCGGTCGAGTTGGACCGTAAACTAATGACTTATGTGGAAATGCTCTGCTAGTGGAGAAAACATCTCCTTTTTTTATTTATTGTCCCTAAACCTGTGGCTATTTTGAAAAACTACGATCAAGGGTCTTGTTTGTTAGGCTGAAGGAGTGGGGTGACCACTTGCTTACTGACTTTGCCACCTGGTGCAAAGGCCCCTTATGTAAGACTAACCACAGAGCTACATGTACAAAGGCAAAAACAAATTTGTACAAATATACTTGTACGTAATGATGCCTTCTAACATCTTACGACATTTACAGCAATATAAACTCACAGTCCTACACATGAGCACCTTCCACACGTCTATTAATTAAAACCCTCAAGTTCATGGGCTGCAATACCCTGCAATGACAAATTTTCAGCTTGCAAATTGTGAGTTGACTGAGGTTATTGTGGGTCCATGCAGCTATTCCTTACCCAAAATGTGGGCTAGGCATTCCCAAGGTGACTCGTGCTACATTTTAGTTCATTTTGAAACTTTTTATAACCATACAGGTACTGAAACGTAGCAGTTAAAATTCCACTTACTTTGTGTAGGTACATGTACTTACTGACACTTGGTATAAAAATAACACGACCAAAAATTGATTTCAGTAGAACAACGCTTTTACTGCATTGTAATTGTAGCGTCAGTAGCATTACACAAAAAGGAAAGCAGTAAAATCGGCTTAGGTTTAAATCAAATTTCTCCTCAAACTATGAATTGGAGAAAACAATGAAGTTATCAGAAACTCACAACTCAATACCATTTCTACATCACCTATAATGATATGCATTTCCCAACCAGTTTAGGAAAAAACATAAATAATCGATGTGACTCACATTACCATGACCCGCATTACCATGACCCACATTACCATGACTCGCATTACCATGACTCACATTATCATGACTCACATTACCATGACCCGCATTACCTCAGGATTACCCTAGATCATGCGTACATTAGCTTGATTCTGTTTGTGTATAGTTACCAGTGCAACTATGCCTTTAGGTTTGCAGTTGAATGAGAAGACAAATAGTTGCCAAGTTAGCAATTATAACATTTTCATAAAAGAATCGCTCTGATGAATTGACATGTGGCACCCCCCCTCAAAACCAACATACCAGTAAATGTCATTTTGAATGAATGCCACATTACCACATATGGTTGATCAACACAATACATGACAAGAAGTTGTAATGGCCATGATGGTTGACCATGAGTTTTTCAGCCTGTTCTGTTTAGCTTTTGTTAGGTTTGTTCCTTTGCCTTCTTCAGCTCACGATGACTTACGGAGGCATATATAGGACATGACAGAAAAAAAAATTGGGGCCTGCTATTTCACCCGGGCAGGCAGATTACTTTTTCACCCGGACGGATCACTATTCGCCTGGGCAGATTACTATTTCACCTTGGGGATTACTTTTTCGCCTGGGCAGATTACTTATTTCGACCGGAGCTGATTAGTATCCCAGGAGACTAGGTTTGTATAATCGCTCACTTATTGCAGGATGAATCACCTCCCCCCCACACACACACACTTTTTTGTAGAAAGAATAAAAAAGGATTTCTGAGTACTTTTTTCATTAAAAATTAATTCAATTGCAAAGTTTCTCATGAAGTGTGCCATGAGTTTGGTTTTTTTTTGGGGGGGGGAAGCCACNAGACTGGCGTTGGGGGAGGGGGAAAATGATGACAAATCGCAGTCCATTTTTCTTCAGTCTGTCCCCCGCCCCAAACATAAGGCCGGGGTGGTTTCAGCCTACTCCATTTTTTTTCTGTCTAGCCTCACAGTGCATTTTTCACGCTTTGGGTTTTTCAGACTTTTTTGAGTAACTCTTTGCAGTCATCTTTCTGAGAATCGGACCTGCTGTTCTGGCGTGGTGTTCATTTTCCCTAAGCAGCCAAAAACCTATACTCTTTCCACGTGCACACATTGCTAGGACACGCTGGCAAGCCTCTGGCCCCAAACTTCAAATGGCCACAGCAACATCTTCAATTGAATTGAAAATGTACTGATCTATTGATTATTTGTATTTATTATGATTATCTTTGCATGCATGCAGAGTTTCATTAAACTCGCGTATGGGATGGCTGAGTTCTGTGGGGGAGGGGGAAAAAAATCTGCCCCCTGGCTGTAAGCGGTCCCCCATACTTCTGACATTTTAGGCTTAAGAGTGAAGTGATGTTCGCATGAATTCCTTTTAAAAATTACAAAGAAAAAGAATGGCTTTAAATATTGTTACAAAATGGTTGGGGGGGGAATCTGTTCCCATGTCCCTTCCCCGCTTGGACACTGAATACGCCACTGCACGTCAGAGGGGAAAGGGGGTTTCCAGGAGGGTACATAGCACTAAACGACGAACCAATCATGAACGTCAGGGGGATGCAGTTGCTCCTGCAATTTCAAATCACTTCAATTTAAATCATATTCACTTTCCTTGGTTGAAACTTCGACCGCATGTCCCTGATATAAAACACTCCAATTTATGACAGATTTTTACCCATCAAAAATTTCCCCTTTTTGAGTTATTTCCAAATATCAGTCTCTGTACACCCTTACACAGCAATACTTGTGGGGTATTTCCTTTGTTCTTGTGTGTGAACATGTATAGAGGGGCTTGTGGGGTACTGGAACAATGGAAGGTACCCCACAAGGCCAGTTTTGATCCTTGTGGGGTACTAAAATGGTACCCCACAAGAATTTCAGGAAATAGATATTTCAAATTTACTCAAAAAGGAGGAATTTTCAAGTGCCCTTCATTTGTAGCAAAATGAAGTATTTTAAATAAGGGATGTTCAGTCGAATTTCCAAAGTAGGAAAGGGAATCTGGTTCAGATGGGAGTGATTTGAAAATATTTACGTGTTGTGTGGGAGTTTTGTACACACACACAAGACCCACACAAGAGTGTAAACGCCTTCAATCGTGGACTCCCTATTGTTCCTCTTTTGTTCATACTTCAACTTTTTCAGAAGACCTCCCATATATTTTGTACACGTTTTCTAACCGTGGACCCTATTGTCCCCTAATGTTATACGCCTACAGTTTGAATAGGTATACAAACTCACACAGACTCGTACACCATAGTTGTGGGGACATACACTTGACATTCACCTATTTTGTGGGGACCGAAAACATTGTGGGGACTCAGAAATGTCCC